GCAGCTCCTCTACTCAGTTGCCCTCCATCTCTTTCGCAGGACCAACAAAAATGGTTCTAAGGTTGCCGATAGGGCTGGATAAAATATTATTAGGCACGGAGGATAAAATGATTAAAAAACTATATCATTATTTGTTAGATCAGGCAATGTATGAGGAACAGGTAAAAGAGACCATGTTAACGTGGAGCAGGGATTTTGATCTCAATTTTGATCTGCACATCTGGCAAGAATTATGGGTAAGAAACAGGAAGCTTACTCTGGCCTCCTACAAAGAAAATCTCTAGAAAATGTTTTACAGGTGGCATCTCCCACCCATAAGACTAGCCAAAATGGGTCCAAATGTTTCTTCCAAATGTTGGAAATGTAAACTGGCAATAGGGACATACTATCATATGTGGTGGGAGTGCCCACGAGGTCGTGATTTTTGGAATAAGGTTAAAAAATGGCTGGAAGAAATATTAATGGTAGTGGTAGAGTTAAAACCAGAACTCTTTTTACTAGGTATAACCATGCAGAAATACAACAAAGGAGTGTTTTATTTGATGTTACACATTCTCACGGCTGCTCGATTGGTGTATGCTCAATACTGGAGGAATAAAGGAATCCCAACAGAAGAAGAGATTTTATATAAAATTTTATTGTGTGCTGAAATGGATAGGCTCACAATGGAAATGAAGGATAAGACAGAATCAGACTACTTCGAGATCTGGGACAATTTTTTATTACTGGTGTGAATCAAGGAGAACTGCTTGGGTTTTAAGTCAACGTTAAAATAGAATTATATATAACTGTATTGTATAGAAGAATATGTTTATATAGAGATCAAGAATTATGTATTATATGTATTAAGAGGAACAAATTGTTAGGAATATTTATTCTGGAATGTCACGTTATGTCTATCTTTGTTTTAACTGTATTATAAATAAAAAACTTTTTAAAAATGGTTCTAAGGTTGGAGCTGGAGAAGAATTTGGGTATCCTCATGCTGGGAGAGATGCATATGGGTTGACCAGGATCCAACCAAATACTTAGTCATCAGCTCACTAGTGGCTCCTCAAGAGAGGGAAAGGAAGTGATCCAGAGGCTGTCAAAGGAAAGCATAGCAAGTAAAGGCCACCATGCTGGGCTACAACTGGTCCAGCTTGGCAAGCTAGTGTGGGAAGAATCTAGAGGAAGAAATATTTGGGGGAATATCAAAAAGAATATATTTCCCCAAAGGAATAATGGAGAAGATCTTTAAAAAAGACAGAAACCAGCCCCCAGAAACCAGCCCCAGCCCCTCTCCCCCAAGCAGAAACTAGGTAGAGGCCAGCTTTTAGATGTGCAGATGTGATAATCCTTTCAGACAGGTTGGAGCCAGGAAGCTAGAAGCTGATGAGTTTAGAAAAACAAAGACCCCTAAAATCTACATCCCCACCCAAACTCTAAGGATAGGAAACATAATAGGATTAACCCATCAATACCAAGAAGAACACACTGAACCTCAGGTCAAAGTTCATGCCACAGGAACAGGAAACAACCTCAAAAGCCCCAGAAGGTATTAAAAACCCACCACTCCAAGCAACAGGTGGTCAGCTTTCCCAGAGCCATGCGTCTGTCTGGCTCTGCTCTTCAATAAACTACACCTTCTTTCTAAAGCAGTCTCCATTTTGTTTATTCCCAGCTTGGACTGGACCCTGCTGAAGATTTTTCTTTCAACAGTAGCAAAAGAGCAATTTTCCTTTGCATTCCAGCTCAGAGTTCTGTGTTGCCATTTTCTGCTACAGAGACAGGAGGAAGGTTCAATAGTTGCTTTTTGGTATGTCAATTTTTCTCCCTGATGCTTTGCTTGAGTCTTTGATGTGAACTGGCATTCAAAAATTGTACAATAATTATGAATGAAGGCAAATATACTTGTCCCAGGATAATGTTGCAGGATCCAATCTGGGTCAGTCAATGGGACCAGAGGTTTTGTTTTCCAAGCTTTTGGACTCCTGTTGGGAGTCCATCTTCAGGGAATTTCTCTCTAGTTTTCTGCCTGGAGAGAAATTCCCTGAAGATGAGCTTCAGTAGGAGTCTGAAAGCTCGGAAGACAATACCTCTGGTCCCATTGACTGACCCAGATTGGATCCTGCAACAAGAATTATGCCATTGCCACATGGGAAAATACTGTGGGTTTATTTGACTTCTTTTAATGCATTTAGTGAATATGCAGTGTTTCCCCGAAAATAAGACTGGGTCTTATTTTGTTTTGCCTCCAAAAGAGACACCAGGTCTTATTTTCGGGGTAGGCCTTATCTCACCTCCAGAACCAACAGCCCCACTCAGTCAGTCCACTTCTTCTGGGACCGAAGTTCTGCAGCTGCATTCGGTCCTGCATTTTGCAGTCAGGCCATTCCAGAAGGTCTAAGCAGCCGAGTACCGAGCTATGGATTGGATCCATAGCTTGGTGCTCAGCTGCTGAGGTCTTGCAGAATCGAGCTACGGATTGAATCCATAGCTTGGTTCTTGGCTGCACAGGCCTTCCAGAAAGCCCTGTGACTGAGAAATGCAAACCTGGCTGCAGAAGAGGCCTCAGAAGAAGAAGTGGGCCAGCAAGGTAAGTAGGTGTGGGGCAGGTGGGGCAGCTCCAACACTCCCACCCCCACCCTAGCTTGATTTTTAGGTGTGTGCCTCACCCCAAAACTAGGGTTTATTTTTGGGATAGGGTTTATATTAGGCCCAAAATTCAAGCTAGGGCTTATTTTCGGAGTAGGCCTTACTTTCCGGGAAACATGGTAATTCATTTCATTTTAAAATATTTTTTTAAAGTTTAATTTAATCTTGTCCTTTTCTAATCTTGGTTCTTAGTACAACCCTTAAGGGCTGATGTAGGAATGATAAATTTGTTCTATTCAAGCCTATAAAATGAGGACCAAATATTTGTGAGTAGGAACTGAAAGTGTATTGAATTAAATCACCAATAATGACTCTACATGTGGAATCATGCGTGAAATCAGACTGACGGTCTTATCATGCAAGTTTATGTTCTCCTTAAAAAGACTAAAGTGTGTTTTTTGTTGTTATTCTGAAACAATCCACAGCCCGCTTCCCTGAGCCCTAAAACGCAAATTTATTTCCCACTTGCTTTGCATTAATTTATGGCATTCAGATTATGAATAGATCGCAGAATTCATATCAAGCTACCAATTATAACTGAGGACAAAATGAAAAGGCTGAAAGATCCAAGTCATTTGGACACCAATGTTTTATTTAATTAGCAAATTAGTCTGGATGGGGAAAGACAAGCCAAAAAAGGACTTCACATCCGCCAAAATTTTATTCCTGCTCCAATTGAAAACACCCTTGAAATCAGATTCTCCCCCCGAGCAGCAGTGGAAATCCACCTCATTCTGGTACCTTAATGAGAAAGTTCAACCATGCTTAGGATATAATACAGCCAAGAGTTAACACCCATTTATGATCCAGAGTACTGAGTGTACACAAAGATGATTTCTGCATCTCATTCGTATACAAAGCAGAATTTTACAAAGGCAACATAACTCATTGACATCTTTTTATCATACATGCAAAGCAGATGCTCTGCTGGCAGGACACATCGTCATGGCAAAACATCTGGGCTTCCCTCCTCTTGTATATGAATGTTTCATTCCTTAAAGCCAAAACAGATATTACACAGCAGCCTTGCGCAATAGCTCCCCAAAGTTTTTTATTATTATTATTATTATTTTTAAATTAAAGATCAGATATAAAAAAGCTATCAACTCAATCGGAAGAGAGATGGGCTTCTAAAAACCTTTCTCACATGCTAATGCTTGCCACTTTGAGTCTCTTTCTTGCCTTCAATCTGTTCACGTTTTGCCATTGATTGAGAAAGCAATTTGGAAGTGAATTATCTTAACCACGTGCCTAGACATTCTTTCTCCAAATAAACAAGCCAATCCCTCTGAGTGACATTCTGTTTTTTTTTTTTTTAAAGCAAGAGGGCTAGTTGTCCCATTCAACAGTTGGGTTAGCCCTTAGGATCAGTCATCTGCAGCAGCAAACAGAGAGTAATTCAAGTTAAATTGAATTACATCACAGCAAATGTGGCTTCTGAAAACACGAAAGGCATTAGAACCTCCGTTATCTCTCTTGCTGAATGCCTAGGTCCCAATGTGTCTCTTCCTTACAATTGCTCAATGATGTCTCTTAGATGATGCCACGGTGAAGAAACTGCCATTTCCCATCTTCTACATACATCTCACATGCAGGAGAAGTTCAAAAGCTTTGAACGAAAGAAGGCTTCACATGCTTGAGTAGGGTAAATTTGGGGATGTATTCCTTTGGCTCTCCTTTATGGCATTGAACCCCAATTGTCCGAAGGTTCGCTCTTCACTCAACAGAAACACCATTCCATCCAAGCCATCTCTTAGTTTCATGAAGGACCGGTCATTGATTAAGAAAAACAATCATGTTTTAATGTCGAATCATTTTCAGTGACGAAAGAAACCTGTGCCTTTGTTCTTTATTTCAGGGGGAAATAAACTAGAATTTTGTCCCATCTCATTATTGTCTATGTCAGTAACAAAGTGCTAAAATGTTTGAAGATAAGGCCTTAAGCGAAAAAGAATGCAAATAAATAAAATAGAACCTTTTTTTGTTTGTTTTAAGAAAAAGCTATGTTTTACAAAGTGATGGAGTTAAAATATCTAGTGCTATGAAAACCATCCATCCCTTAAGAAAATTTGGTCTTTTGCTTTGCTTCTTTTAAATAGCCAATAGTCAGTAACTGAATTTCTTCCCTTTTCACATACACAGATTGGCTGCTAAAACAGATTCCCCCCCCCTTTGTTAAACCATAAAGTGGTATCTACTGATAGGAAAGAATCCTCGTTTTCTTCTCTTCATTTTAATGTCTGTGAGTTGTGATCAACAGAAGGCTGAGGGTATCTGTTGACCTTGTTGCTTGACAAAATTTTCTTTCTTGTTTGGCAGAAAAATCCTGCTTAGAAGTCAATAAAAATCCATTACAGAGCGTGTCATGCTTGCTTTATGACTACGACGCAGGCCCCAGCTCTTCCAATATTTAGAGAGGCCATCTGCAGAGAAGAAATAAAATATTAAGTTTAAGTTCCAAAGTGAAGATCAAATGCTAACAGTTTGTGGCTCTGTATGTACGTCTGAGGAGTTTAAATTGACATGATTCATCAACTTGGTAAAGTTGATAAAATATTAGCAAAATTCATAAGCAGTAGTCAAATTCATGATATCCAGAATTTCCACATGGATATTAAGTCATGACAATTTAAACCTACCTACCTTCCTTTCCTTTCCTTTCCTTTCCTTTCCTTTCCTTTCCTTTCCTTTCCTTTCTTTCCGTTTGATTTCCATCCCATCTTTTCTATAAAGTAGTACTGTTATAGTTCACAACTGTACTAAAAGCCTTGTTTAGTAATCTTCTTAAAAAGAACACAGATACTATTTCATTTCAGATCATGTGGTCATACCTGTCCATGTACAATCCTACATGTTAATTATGAGTATGATGAAGAAATTTGCATTATATTAGAAGAGAGCCACAGCATGCATACAACATTAAGAAGGAACTCTGATATAGCATGTTGGTCTAGGAACAAGCTAGAGAATACACAGTGGAAAATAGAGCTTTATCAACTGTTTTACTATAAAACTAGACAAGAGCTGCAATTGTAAATAAGAGAGATGAGGAAAGACATTGTTGTACCTGACAAAAGTTAAATTCAAACTAAAAAAAAAACACAACACAAATATTCCAATGAAAGATGTGATAATAGTAGTGTTCAGTGGCTGGAAAGATCCTAACCCGTCATTTCTTAACATGTTTTCTTGATCATCTAGGGAAAAAAATATGGACTTTTCTTAAATAAGGTCTTTGACAGTTAATGTACCCGAGAGAGAGAGAGAGAGAGAGAGAGAGAGAGAGAGAGAGAGAGAGAGAGAGAGAGAGAGAGAGAGAGAGAGAGAGAGAGAGAGAGAGAGTTGTATGCTATAAATCAGGGGCCTTCAAACTTGGCAACTTTCAGACTTGTGGACTTCAACTCCCAGAATTCCTCAGACAGCCCTAGCTGGCTGAGGAATTCTGGGAGTTGAAGTCCACAAGTCTGAAAGTTGCCAAGTTTGAAGACCCCCCTGCTATAATTGCAGTCCTGTGAAACCTCAACTCTTTACCAGTCCTTTCAAGCCTCCTATCACCGGATGCAAAGCGCACAATAATGGATACCTGTGTCCATTCATTGGTCTGTGGATCATACGACTCCATCGTGTTTAAGTACGTCTGTCCATCATAGCCACCCACGGCATATAATTTATCGCCCAGGATGCAGACGCCAACAGCATCACGAGGCATACTCAGTGGGGCCACCATTGTCCAGGTATCAGTTTTGGGGTCATACCTGTGCAACAAAAGACAAAGTATACTTGATGAGAACATATTTAGGAATCAAGATGACTTTTAGCATCATACGTCTTTCTGTCCTAGAGGTCCAATAGATTTCTTGAGGACATATTTCCAAAATCCGTCTATTTAGCAATAGAAGGTAAACATCATGGTCTAAGTATTTTCTTCACTAAAATACTGTTTATTGCCTCCAGAGAATTCTTTTTATTCATTCAGGTGCTTAATAATATGATTATTTTATTGTTAGACCGAGCTGGAATATTATTATTATTATTATTATTATTAATTGCATTTATATCCCGCCCTTCTCCTTTCGGACTTTTAAGTATTCAAAAATACCTTGCATTGTGAAGTACAAACATAGGCTGTATTTCTAGCATTTATTTTGTAGAGATGTAAGGCATAAATGTTAAGATACATGTGTCTGCATTGACTGCTTGGTTGATTTCTTGGTCTATTCTGAACAACATGATTAGAATAAAAGGCAATAATCATATTGTAACTATTTCAGTTTTCCATTAGGTAAAATATCTTTTTTTAAAAAAAAAACAATTGGGGTTGGATTTATTTTTTTTCATGTAAAGCTAAGTAAAACATCCCTTCATTTTTAACTGTATTGTACCTTAAGAGAATATTGAACAGTGTTATCAGTAGCGTTGTTACGAAACTTTAAGAAATGGAAAGCTGAAGAGCATTTCTTCTTACATTCAGTTCAGCACTTGCAAATTGATTTCTTTTTGTATGCAGAAACTTTATGGTATCTCCTGTTTCACCTTGGGGCACATCAAGTTATTACGAAGATTAAGCATGCAACCATATTTTTTTTCTTTAGCTGAAGAAATAAAGCTGTAAAATGAAGGCAGCTTTTCAGTCTTCATGCTCATTTCTTTCTAGGTCTGTCTGGGGTAGTTTTAACTATTCTATTACTCCCCTGCTACTCCTTTAGAAAACGGAAAAAAAATTAAAGAAAAACGAAATGCAATTTCTATTCATTATGGCTGTGTTTTGTTTTCTGTGCTATGATGGGGCATTCATCCAGATTCTTTGAGTGCAAAAAAGATAATTCTGCAACGAATACTATACTGAAGTTTATAGCCCTAAAACCTGTAAAATAAAGCTGGCACTTTGCTAGGTATGATTGTAAAATAAAACACATTTATCCACACAACTCCATCATCCATTGGCCCACAATTGTCTTGAATCCATGATCTTTCCTCAGGTTTGAAGACAATAGTAACTTTTTTTTCCAAAGGACCTATGTGGAGTCATGGGAAAACTATTCAAGGTTGAATGTATTTAGTACTTGGTAGGGTGGTAATTTCAATGATTGACTGGAAAGTCAGAAAAATATCCCAAATGAAGACAATGCAAGCTACTTTGTTGTCCCTGCCCCAGCATGTACCGATGATGTAATCAAGAATTCAGTTCAAAGGAGACTGGAACATTGCAAATTTTTTAAATTCAGAATATAAGGCAACAAAAACAGAGAACAAAAGTGAGCCAAGGAGAGAGAAGGAGAGAAGAAACACAACTTCTATCTTTTAATCTTGAACACTCTAAAGAAATTCAAAATATGTTTCTATATCTCCAAAATCAAGGATTTCTTTTGCTGTACTAAGAGCATTTCAAGTCAATGGCCTTGTTTGCCTTCAGACCCATTGAAGATAAACTCATAAAAGATGGATACCTCTCAACATAATCCAAGAGTCTGGAGCAATGGTTAGAGGCAGGGGCATCATGGCCTCCGACAGCATAAAGAAAACCATCACAAGTGGCCACTCCAACTCCTCCTCTTCTTTTGCACATTGGAGCACACATGTTCCATTTATTGGTGTGAGGATCATAATACTCCATAGAACTCAAGCAAGAACTTCCGTCTCGGCCACCAACTGAGTATAATCTAAAATAAACAGCATAGCATTGTTAAGCATGAAAAAAACCTTTAGTCTTAGTCTTCTCTTAGATTACCCTGATTGTATTCTGATCTGTATTCTGGAAAGGTCAGTGTCCAGTGTCCAGTGTCCAGTCTCGAAGATACGTTGGACACCGAAGCACTTAATCTGCTGATGGATCACTTCATAGAAAGTATCTGGTCCTGATTGTACATCCAATTTATATAGCCACCCATTGTTCATGTGAGTATACACATGCAAACATGTATGCGTATGTAAATATATATGTATATATATTCATTGCCATCAATTTCATATTGTAAATGCTGAGGTATGTGTGGCATATCATATGTCATTAACACTGCTGAAAATTTTTTATTCTCCTTCAATTTTATTTAAAAATTAATTTCTTTCAAAAATCAAATACTTTATTGCTGTTCTCCTAGGGGATATTTGGGTTTTTGTGGTTGTTTTAGTTACAAGGAGTTTGGGAATGCTTCCAAACTTGTCAATATCTCTTCATAGTGGAAAGTATCTTTGATTCCTGCTCTTTAGTCAAAGCTAAAGGAAGCTATCTTGAGGCACACTAATGGGGCTTTTTCAAATCAAGATCAGGTTAGAGTCCAGGAAGATTGTAGGATGTTGGTAAGATATTTAGAGGAGAGAATTGTAGCCACGGCATCTATTAACTTACAAAAATAAAATAAGTTCAGAAATAATGCATGGTTAAGGTTGCAGATCTGTAATTGGCTTAATCCTCCTTGACAAAATTGATTTCTCTAAGGGAAAAAAAGTACCCTTGATTTAGTCCCTGGTAGATTCTTGGCTGATGTTTTGATAAGCTCAAGGTCTGAAAGTATTTACAAAAGGTGAAGTAGCTTGTCCTGGATTTATACGGACAGAAAGAAGGACAGGAGCAGAATTTCCCTTGTGCTGTTACATCAGCCTTTGAAACCAACGTTTTTCTTTCCCCAAGTGGTACTATAATATATTCACTATTTATCACAGATGGGTATTTACAGTAATCTGGGTAATCTTGATGTTCTACCAACAACAGTTAATGAAGGGAAGCAAAAGACCTTCCCATCCAACAGGAGATCAGCCTGGTGCAGAAGTTGTAATAGAATCAGCAGTGACTGTCATTGGGAGCTGTCCATGGTACCAAACCCATCCCTTCTTATTTTTAAGCCTAGCAGAGAAATATTTGGAAATCTAGAAAAAAAAAACCTTAAAAGATTACAAAATATTATACAGTCATGAAATTTTTTTAAAAAAAATGGCCATAAAGAAAACACAAGACTATTCCCATGCTACAGAGCAATTAACTTTATACTTAATTTTTTTGATAATTTAATTTAGTTTTCTTGGCTCTATCTTTTATTGCAGTCACACATCAGAGTTAAAATTTTAAACATAAAAATAAAATTGAGAAAAAAGCAAAACAAAGACATAATGTTATATGACAGTTATTGGTGAGGTCATTGATGGGTGACCAAAATTGTCAGAGCGTGCACAGTCTTATTGCGCTGAGATAAGCCAGGAGTAAACACAGTAAACAGTGGTCTATATTAAATGACAGTTTATATCACACTATCTACAATATCATACACCAGGAACGTGCTAATACACCAGGATCCAACACACTACACTTACAGCAGTAAACGGAAGAGAGAGCACACATCTGCGGAGCCTTCCCTTTTATACAAAACTCTTAAAGAGATACAGACCCTGCTTACTCTTAAAGAGACACAGACCTTGCTGAGTCATTCCCAACATTACATCATGCATTTTACATTACATCAGCTGGTTAGCTTTTAAATCACTCATTTGATAGTAACAACTGTATGTAAAAGAGATAAAAATTTCCTGGACATTTTATCAGGTAAGGAGTCAGAATGAGTTTGTGAACCCTGATAGAGGGAACAATATAAGAGGACATGAGCTGGAGTTACAATGGCTCCCTTGTCCATAGAAGTAAAAATCTCACTCATATGGGACTTTTTTATATATTTACTCTACAGAGCTGCTATGGAGAATTTAATTATTTGTTTTATATTGTTGTTTATGTAGGAAATATCATGGTAAATAAATCAATCTGATATACACCAAACACACACAAAAAATCTAAATAATATCTACGGTACTTCCTATTGTACAAGATATGTCAGTAGAATAAAGTGGAATACTTTAATTTACAATGAATTTATTTCTATAAGTTAATTTATTATGTATTGTGACTGCTCAGTCTCTTAGAATGCTAAACTAATTGATATGTTTCAACTACCCAGGAACATTATGTTCACCTCTGCAGAGTTAGACTTAATGCAAGAATAGCCACACCACAAATATTGTGTGACCAAAAGAGAATTAATGAAAAATGCATCTGTTTTAGATAATATAACTGCTGAAGCATGGCATTCTATATGCAGCTAATAAATTATATTATACTTGCTGGCCACAAATTGTGCAAACCTGCCTTCCAATGTACTGATAGAAGTAGATATATAAGCTGATTTATGTGGTATTTATCGGAGAGATGCATGAACTATCATCCAGAAATTTCAATTGAGAAAATGACAGTATAATAGAGTTAAACCTGGCTATCAGATGTGATTCAGTTCTTTTTTAGGCATATCTGTAATTTGTCAGGATAATGACAATTAGCAAGAGATGTAAATCATTACTGGAAATGTTGACTACTTCACAACAATGGGCAAATGTTCATTTTGAAATAAGCATTACTGTATCTAATAAACTTTCCTTCATAAACAGAGCCAGTTATGTCTAGTGCAGGGGTAGGCAACCTGGGCTCTTTTATGACTCGTGGACTTCAACTCCCAGAATTCCTGAGCCAGCATGGCTCAGCTTGGAAACCTCTCCCTTTTGCCTCAGCATGGCTGGCTCAGGAAATCTGGGAGTTGAAGTCCACAAGTCATAAAAGAGCCAAGGTTGCCTAGCCCTGGTCTAGTGGTTAAGGCACCAAGCTAAAAACTGGGAGACTGTGAGTTCTAGTCCTGCCTTAGCATGAAAGCCAGCTGTGTGACCTTGGGCCAGTCACTCTCTCTCAGCCCAGCTCATCTCACAAGGCTGTTGCTGTGGGGAAAACAGGAGGATGAAGGAAGTACTAGATATGTCCACCATCTTGGGTTGTTTGTGAAAAAAATAATAAAGGCAGCATATAAATACAGCAATAAATAACTAATCAGAAGGAGAGAGGAATATCAGTGCAGTGCATAAACTGATCATGAATGAACAGGATCAAAAGATCAACCCTTTACCTTCTGTTGTCCCAAAGGTCCTTTTTTTCAGGAGGCAACTGAACTTTCTTGTTTTTCCTTTGAAGATGTTTCACTTCTCATCCAAGAAGCTTCTTCAGCTCTGACTAGATGGTGGGGAATGGAAGGATTTATACTCCTTTCAGACAGCTGGTGATTTGCATAGAGAGTTGTTGAGGCCATTTGGAGGTTTTCTGTGTCCTCCGGGCCATCTGAGTAGTGCAAATATGTGTGGAGCCTTCATCCTGTAGCCAAGAAGGTCCCACACATATTTGCACTACTCAGGTGATCCTGAAGAGACAGGTTAAGTGGCCTCAACAACTCTCTAAAACAGGGGTCTTCAAACATGACTGAGGAATTCTGAGAGCTGAAGTCCACAAGTAATAAAAGAGCCAAGTTTGGAGACCCCTGCTCTAAAAGAATGCAAATGACCAGCTGTCTGCAAGGAATATAAATCCTTCCTATCCCCACCATCCAGCCAGAGCTGAAGAACTTCCTTGGATGAGAAGCAAAGCATCTTCAAAGCAAAACAAGAAAGGCCAGTTGCCTTCTGAAAAAGCACCTTTGGGACAACCATGACCTGGATGACTGAGAATCTCCATAGACATTTTCCTTCTGTTCTGGAATTGTCACCTCACAGGAGGAAGCAAAGCAACTGGAGATAGATCCAATGAAGTATCTTTTATTGGCTCATACAAACTACAGCGATCATGAGGATCCTTGCAAAAAACAAAAAGAACAAAAACCAAAGCTCAACAAAGCAAGGTTACAAGTTAGAGGCATACAATTTGTTTTTGCTACATTGGAAAGAGGAAGAAAATATTTTAAATCATTATATGACCTCTAAACCTGGCTTTGACGAAACACCTTACAAGATCCTCCTACATACGTTCATATATTTCTCTCCTGCGAGATGCTAAAAAATCAGTTCTATAAACAATAGCATTTATTTTGTCCATATATTTTCTCCTTTTTACACCATCCTGTTCATATGCCAACAAAGGACAAAGGTCTGTTTTTTTTCTTTCTTGAAACTATTCCAGCTCTGGAGTAAATGTGGTTTTACTACCGTCCTGCTTTCTCCAAGGTATAAACCATCTCTAAGCAGGGAACAAAATTTTGGCTACAATAAATGAAGAAGCATCAGCAAATGAACTCTCCACCCTGCAGAGGTTCCTTCAGCAAAATTCTGGTCTTAGTGCACAACTGATTGTTGTAATAACCATGCAGTGAGCATACCAAAACGTAAACTACTAAACTGATTATTTTCGTACCTGGCTTTGAAAGGTGTACTTATTGTTGGTATTTTTGTCTGTTTTGTTTCATAAGACATCATTAATTAACCCAGGAGACTGTGTTGCACAAGGCTAGGGCTTTCATTATATCCTCACCATATTGATCATTAGAAAAAAAAATTGTATCTACTATGTTCATTCAGGAATTATTAATCAACAGTTTTCTTCAGAAAATCTGAGCCTACAGTTCTCTGGAAACTGCAGCAGCCTTTGAATTAATTTTCATCTGATGTTTCTTCTTTTTAATCTTTCCACTGAAATAGTGGAACAGATCTATAATGTGGTGAGACTTATCCACAATGAATTTCAGGACTTATCCTTCCTTTTCAAAGAATCTGAGTTGGACAAACAAAAGCTTTTACCTCCTTAATATCTACCTGGTGTAATATTTATTAAATTTAAGTACAATTCTCTGTAGTGTTCTGAATATATTCAGTC